AGGCATCTAAAAAATTTCCCTAAGATATGCTTAAAGACCAAAAAGCAAAGAACCACTGCACTATGACCCTCTTTATATAAAGAGCACAAGGTACGAGCGCTGACCTATGCAGCCCGAAATCAGGAGAAAGGTCAACTGCCTTCGGGGAGGGGGACCAGGAAGGGACAGGAGGCGGCTCTGAGGCAGAGAACGTTCTGCCTTGGACCTGGGTGTGAGGTCATGGCTACGTGCAGTCTGTAAGTTCCCCTCTCTGGGAGCCGACACTTTCTCTGGGTACGCCGTCCTCCCCACCACGGGAGACCCCCACACGGGGACAAGTCAGGTCCGAGGAGCCACGTGGAGCTTGAGAGAGAATTTTGGGAGAAGGGGAAAGAAGCAACCAGCAGCTACGTGGCTGAGACCCCCCCCCAACCCCCCCTCTGGCTTTCATTGGCCAGGGGTCCGGGTTACCGCTAATCCGGCCTCGGCCTCGGTTTCCTATCTGTAAAGTGGGCACGCAGATGCCACAGACATCTGAAGCTTTCACACACCAGAGAGCTGGGGACAGGGACCCTCATGTCCAGAGCAGCATGTCCTCAGTGCCTTGCGCAGCTGGGGGCACCACAGGTGCTCAGTGAGCCGTGTGCAGAGTGAACAGGAGTGGTGAGTGTGGGCGGGGCTCGACTCCTCGTCCATTCTGTCTTGAGCACCTGGCTAGCACCAGGCTCAGTCCCCCCGCCGAGGCATCCAGACCTCTCGGCTGCTCCCAGGACTCACCCTGGGGTCCTTGGAGAGCATCAAACCTCAGCTGCGCCTTGCCAAGCTCAGGAACAGGCTATCAGAGGAGCTGTCCCCCAGAGCTGCCAGGAGCATCCTATTTGGGGACACACGTGGGACGTGGAAACGGCTCTGGTTAATTCCCCAGAAGGGAACAGAGGCCAGCAACGGGGAAGCTGCAGGTTCTAGGGGGCTGGGAGAAACCCGGGCCCCGTGTTTGGAAAGGGGGCAAGAAGGGACCCACCAGCAGCCCTCTCCAGCCACCATGAAATCCCACAGAGGGCCAGAGGGCTCCCTGGGGCTGACGGTGGAGGAAGGAAGGACCCTGCAGAGCCTGACCATGTGTCTGCAGAAGAAAATTAACAAGAAAAGCAGCCTGACCTCCCACTGACAGGGGCAGAGGTGAGGCGGATGCTGGGAATCGGGCTGGGGGCACAGGATCCCGGGTCTGTGCAGGTGTCTCTGAAGCCCAGCTGCCCTTGCTCCCCAGTCCTCAAGTACCTGCTGGACCCACACTCAAACCTCAGCTTTCTCACACAGCCACGTGACAGACGCTCATTGCCTCAGTTTCCTCATCTGTGAATTGGGTGCAGACCCAGCACCGCCCACAGCAAAGGGGCTGTGAAATCAAGTACGCCCGGGGCCAGCTCAGGATCTGCTCCTGACCAGGCACGTGACCTTGGGTAAGCCTCTCCAGGTCTTGGAGCCTCAGATTTCTCATCTGTAAAATGGGGATCACGGGAATGTCTGGGTAGTGTCATGGGGTTAATGAAATTAATAAATTCAATAAATACACACACGGTGCTTAGGATACTGCCTGACACACAGTGAGCTCTTCATTTTAAAATCAGGACAATCAGGACGCCTGGGTGGCTCAGTCTGTTAGGCAGCTGACTCTTGGTTTCGACTCCGGTCATGATCTCGGGGTGCTGGGATCCAGCCCTGCGTTGGGCTACGTGCTCATCGGGGAGTCTGCTCGAGGATTCTCTCTCCCTCTCCCTCAGCCCCTCCCCCGCTCACGTGTGTGCTCTCTCTGAAATAAATCTTTAAAAATAAAATAAAATAACATTAGGGCAGTAATAATAGCAGCTAACTTTCTGTGTACTCCCAAGGTGACAGGTATTGCTCTAAGAGCTTTACGTTATTTTCCTATAAGGCAGACGTTTATCCCCATGTTAAAGATGGGGAAACTGAGGCAAAGGTAAAGAAACTTCTTATTGCTAAGAAGGATACTGACAGACAGACAGTGCACAGTATCTCCGGGAAGCAGATGCTAGGAAGACTTAGGTCTGGCTGTCTGGTCCTTGGGGACACCCCCAGATATTTGCCAACTTCCCTTTTTAACAAGTCAACTGCAGGCCTGAAGCCCAGAGCCTGGGAGAGGTTGACCACAGTTTAATGCCCTATAAATGCCGGTTTCGGTCTTATTCTCCTTCCTCCCCACCCGCCCCCAGTGGCCACTGGGCTGGTAGAACCGGCTCAGCCGCAGGTGTCTGGGCCCAGACCGGCGCCATGGGAAAGAGCTCTGCTCCCCACGAGCCCAGGGCTCTGGGGACGGAGCTGATGTGTGGGGGCCACGGGTCCGGCAATGCTGCTGCGG